CAATCTTACTCTCAAAGAGCCCCAACAACCCAGACCTGGGACCAAGATCCCAACATGCCAAGTCAAGCATTCAATCCTATGGTACCTGTTGGATCACGTACAACAAACAGTCCATGGACGTCAGCACAAGGACAATTACCAGGATGGACTAGTTCTCAAGTGTCGGACTTGGTGACCGGATATCCAGAGCAAACTTCTAGGAGAGCTTCTGTGCGATCCGAGTATCTACCCCCATACGAAGAAGCAAGTTCTGCCGAATATCCGTTGGTAAACAATGATAGTCGATCGACTCGTCGTATGGGTCGTGTCGATCCCAATCTCGCAAGCCTTGCCCTTCAGTCCTTGCCACAGGAATCGGAGGAAGAAACACCCGAGCAAGACACCGAAACATCTCGTAACGAAACCTTGGCTCGTTTGGAAGGGAGAGATGGGAGTCGTCGAGGTTAGGAATTCGTTAGGATCTCCTGGAGGTAGTATGAGTATACCATTGAGATGATTGAGCCTGAGATGTGATGCGATGCGGTGAGAATGAGAGAGAAATCAGTCATCAGTCTTCCAAACCTATTGGTGCATTCATCAGAAAACAGCAACTTACAGCTATAGTACATTCACCAAACCCACTTTTCCTTGTTCAGACAATTCCTCACCGTTTGATACCTTTCCCACCTCTTGTACTCTTTCCTCCTGTAGCTTTCCTACTTACGCTCTTCCCTGCCGTTGTCTTCCTAGGCGCTTTACTAACTGTCTTCCCACTAGTTTTCGGTCTCTTAGTTGCTCGTTTCTTCTCCTCTTCATCATCCTCTGATGATTCCTCCAAAGCTATAGGTTCATTCTTCCCTCCTTTCGTACCAGTTGCCGATCTTGTGGACATCCTCCTCTGAGGAATATCATCAGGTATGACGATCCCCAATCCTACTCCTGTTCGAGTAGGACGTTTGTCATCCGGTGATTCTTCCGTAAAGAGACCAGTGACAAGATCTCTAGCTATCAAGGGTTCACCAGCCATTCCATCACCAAGATTACGTTCAGAAGTCAGGTCATACCACATCAATTCGGAGTTGGTATCGATAGTACTTTCCCTACCCCTCTGGCTGTCCTCTTGTGACGGTGATTTTGGCGGCAAGTCATATGTGATTTGAGGGTGGAGCAAAGCGAGAGGGATGGAAGCCAAGTCTTTGATCGGCTGAGACGAGAGTAAGGTGTCATTGTGCTTTTTCGATATGTGAATGGGAAAAAGATATTCAAAATTCTCCCAGGGTCGATCATCCAGAGAGAGTGCTGGGTCCTCACCGGATTTAGAGGTTGGGTCCGGTCGACAGAGAGCAAGAGTACGTCGAGGAGGAGATACGCATGGTAGTACTCGGACAAAGGATCGATCGAAGTTTATGGCAGACTGAACACCAGGACTGCTCATTTCAGCCAGCAGAGCAGTTTGGACGCCTACACGTGCCATTGGTGGGGCATCTGATGAGTCAGAAGGAGACTCGTTAGGCAAAATGCGACTTACTGTCCATGATGTGAATGAGCATGTCCTGCAGATCCGGTCTCACATCATCTGGGAGAGTCTGCATATCAGTGGAGGTTCATATGGATAGGGAAAAATGAACTCACAACAAGAACTCGAAGATAGGATACTGCTAATCTAGCGAAATCGGGTAAAGGATGTCCACCTCCAAACTCCTGACCTGAAATGCTCAACGCAAATTTCAAAACCTTCAATACCACTTTCAACACATCAACTTGATTGGGAGGAGTGACACTGTCAATCGTTCCTTCTTCTCCTTGTGATAAATGTCTTTCTGTAGATTGGAGAGTAATCGACACTAAGTCTAGTAATCTGTGACGGGCTGACATGACAGCTGTCTCTGCGCGAAGTTTGTCCGTGGGGCCGATACTATTTTGCAAAATGTTCAAGACAACATCAATGGATCTGCTCGCATCTTCCGATTGATCTTGTTGTTCCGCTCCGATGATCCGAGACAAAAGGGCAGTGAGATGATCGAATCCCGAGACCAAGATTTCTTGGATGACCACGGGCTCAATACCTCTGAAGGCCTCGCAAATAAGATCTGTGTCGGTTTCGGCATTCTGATCAAATGTTTGAGTGATGAGACGAGAAAGTGACTGTCGAGCAGCGGGCGCATCTTCGTTGTTTACTATTTGAAGGGCAAGACGCTTGAGCTCCACTCGCATCTCAAGCACAATACGAGTCCAACGCCATGCCGAAAGTCTTGTGTCCAATGAGAGGCTTGATAGACTACTGGCAGATTGTGGAGGGCCTACAGATAATCAGCCACTTCTTTGAGAGTCTCCAGCCTGATGAGCTGGTGACAAAGTTGCCCCCGTTGAAGTAGTGACCAAGGGTAGAGACGTGCCAGAAAGCTGTTAACAAGGTGTTTAGATAAAGGGGACAGATTGTCTAACAAAACTCACCGGAAGACTGATCCGACATCATCATCTTCAACGTTTCGACCATTCCCGCTTCCAAACCAACATCCTGTCTGCGATTCCACTCATTTGATAAAAACACATCTTTCAGCAAGTTAAGATGTCTGAATGCGGCGTTTTTGAACTCTGGTGTTCCCGCCAGACTCTGAAGAAACGCAGAGATTTGACGTTTGGTTCTGTTCCAGAGTAATCCCGACCTTTCGAGTACGACCAAATGCGGCAGATGACGGATGAGCTCGATGATACGAGTGTTGCTCAGAGCGTAGGAACGAGTGGTTTGAAAAATCAGCGCCTCGCATAGAGTCTGAGGTGGGAGTTTGGCATGAGGAGGATCGGCGAGTAGAAGCTGTTGGGCAAGGGTGAGAGAATGTTCTATCGTTCGGAGATGTGAACCCAGTAATCTTGGTCGAGGCGCGAGAGTGATAGATGCCTCATGATTCCATATAGGGAAACAGAATTTTTCCAATAACGTCACAGCTGTCAAATGACGACGAGCCACGAGGGTAAGAAAGAATGTCGTCAGTCGAATTGCGGTCGGTTGACCCCAGATATCAATACGTTCTTCGGGAGACAGAGCATTCAGCCAAATTGCCAAAGAATCATCCAGTGTTCTTTCGGATTGCTCGTCCAAACGGCCTGCCAGGACAGCAGCAGCTTCCACTGCACTAGAAGCATCACCTTCAACCTTGATGCCTTGAAGAGACTTGATTACAGCGGACCACCAAGACGGCGCCCACTTGCTGAAAACGCCATGTCGAACAAGCAACTTTTCGCCCAGAGCATGGGCTGCTTCAACATTGCCAGAGCCAATTGCGGATTCTAGATTTGCCATACTCTCCTTGAACTCTGCCCAACCAGAGGAAGGTGGTGGCTTCCCAGCGTCGTTTTCCTGCTTGATCGCTTCGACTTCCGCCGCGTCACCAGCCGATACTCGACCAAGCTTGGCAAGATCAAGCAAGAGGGATACGAGATCCTGATTATAATGATCCAACTCCCTCAAGGTCTGAATCCGATCCATGAGGGCATCTGTGATTTCAGGCCATCGGTCCATGGCGGTCCATATCTCGGCATCACGTCTGGTTGCATCTACAGCCATGGCGAGTAGTTCATCATTCTGGACGACTCTAAAAGCTTTTATGAGGAAATCCGCTAGGGTAGATCCACCTCGAGCTTGACGGAAGACATTGAGTATTCGAGCAAATGTTGAGCAGTCCATGGCGGGCATGGAACCGCGACGGACTAGATGTTCCACTGCAGCTGGAAAAACACGAAATCGAGCGTGAACGTATATGTATCGTGAAACACGAGCGGCACTGGGTAATCGATGAGATATTGCATTGCGATACGAAGCGCTTTTGCCGTACCTCCTATAACCCCAGATCTCGGGGACGTACGATTTGACTTCTTCGATGTATGCCTCCTCAGTCCGTTCTTCCTCGAGCTGATCTTGCTGACGGAGCTTACGGTCGTCCCCGCATAGAGCGATACGCCGTTGCTGAAGTAGATCTTTGGTGTCGACGAAGATGGGCAAAGCTCTTAGGATCCCGAGATGATGAGATGTTGGCGATTGGTGAGTGCGTGATCGGGCAGTATGACCTCGAGCTATGAGAGATTGAAGATATCGTCCGTAGGAGAAGAGACCAGCTCGAATCAGTTCACCAAACGTGATACCGATAGCCGGGATGTTTTCGGCTTTCTTGGCTGCCGATGATGTGTCCAGCCATGTGTACAGAAAAGAAAAAAGATCCATACTGGTCGAACGGGTGGAATTGGCATCTCGAGCCTCTACCCAAAGTTTGAGCAGAGTGTAAACCGCATATGGTCGATGGGTACCAAGCTGGAAAAGTCCCATGGACCAGTTGAGTAGGGTGAAGATTTTGTCCTGTAGTCTGTGAACATCTAATGATGGAGAGTTTGGAGCTGAATTGTTATCGAAGAATGAACGACAGAGATCAGGCATGATGGTTTCGGCCCCAATCGAATCAAGTTTCTGTATCTCGTCCAGCTGCTGTCTTCGTGGATTTGCCGAGGAACGTATAGGAGGTGACTTAAACATGAGCGAGTTATTTCGTTTTTCGAGGTATGACCAAGTATAGTCAGGCGTCGAAGCACCACGTTGATCGTCTGACTGAGGGGAATCGAGTGATTCAACGATAGGTTTAAGAATATTGAAATAGAGTCGCCAGCATCTGGGGCTAATAAGTACCTCCGGGTTGCTGGTATGGAGATCTCTGATGGCAGTTACCAAGAGTGACTCGACGTCCTTCAACTCCGCAGATGCTGCCGATGATCGTATAGCGATGATGACCGCGCACATGGCTCGAACACATTGTCTTCCATTGATGACATGCCGAGCAAAGTGGGGAAGGAAAAATGTGACGAGCTGGGAGAGGGAACCGATTTGCAAGAGATTAGCAGATGCTAATTGATCCGCTAGCCAAGAGGTGATGATACGATTGGACAAAAGTCGTTTGGAATGTAATTCGAGGAAGAGCGATAGACTGATATGTCAGTCGCCTTTCTTGCAACGCTCGAAGGTGGCGTGATAAAACTTACCTGTATTCCCATTTGATCAACCAGCGATTTTTGGCAGCTTCGTCGCCAAGAACTCCTGGAGCGGATTTACCAGTAAGAACAATATTGGAGCTGGTCGTATTGGGGATGACCAACTGACTTAGCTGTATCCGAAGCCAAGAGGTGATGTTATTCGTGAACTCTTGAGTGTACCAATCATTACTCGACAGAGGTAATGAAGGGGTGACATTGACAGTTGTCGTAGAGGAAGGTGTGGCAGCAGCAGGAGAAGCGGATTGAACAGGAACAACCGCCGGTTGGGCTCTACTTCTATGTGCGGATATCTCGTTGGCACCGAGAACACGAATGAACCATGCTGCTCTTTCAACAGGTATAGGGTCTGTAGTCGGTCTGGTCTTTGCTGTTGATGCGACGGTGCCGATGATGGGAGAAAACATCAGATCGAACATCTCCACACCTTTGAAACCATGTGGGACAGGAGACCGCATGAGTCTGTGGAGGGGGATGGATGGGTTGGCAAGATCAGCTAGGAATTGTGAACGTCTGGAATCGTTGTAGGTGACTCTGACGGGGATTCTGAAGCTTCTTTCGCTACCATTCAGCCTTCATACTCTCTGCACGAGCCTTTTCGCCCCAGATATGTGCAAAGACGAGCCGATGAACGTCATGAAGATGAGGTCGTGGGAGGGCAAAAGTAGAGGAGAATGATGGCGGGAAGGTAGAAGGAGAGGGGGAGAGGGGGAGAGGGATAAGGAACAAATGGAACCACTGAACGCACCCAATCTTTGGCATGGAATCATCCCTCTTGATCAACAATTGATCAACGATCCTATTAAGTCCTTCTAGACCCCCATTGAGTAATTGTTGATGTATAGCCCCATGCATCGAGAATACCTCGGCTGCGACACTAGGATAACCTTTAGCAGAAAAACCATTTTTGACATTATCCTCTGTGAGTACATCTTCAGGTTGTTGAAATCCCGGACGAGAGGGGTAAAAGTCTGGGTATCCTTGAAAAGTCAGCTTATGGAAAAACTTGTACATTCCTCTTAGATTCTTGTACCTCATATATCATTTCCCACAAACTGATCAGTAATCAACAATATATCATTAACCTAAAGTATCCCGGCGGAGATTGGAGAAATAATACACTACACATGCCTCGTGAAAGCTTTTCTCACAGCACCATGATTGACAAAAGACTGTTGACTCACCAAAATCAGCTTGACGATTCAATACAGTCCTCCAGATAGGAGGAGCAAAATCTTCTACTTCAGGTATAGATCCATGTTCTGTATTCGTATTGACATTACTCGTTTTTGAAGATCTACGTCCTTTGTTATTCGTATTTGATCCAGTAGTGAGAGATGATTGTCTTGAAGTAGAGCCCGCAGCTGGGCCTGCGGCTGAAGGTCGAGAGGGGGGCATGTTTAGACAGAGTAGGATGACATGTTCTATGAAGTAGTATGGGGAACAGAGTCCCTCTTGGGACCCATATGTGACAATAAGGAAGAGAGAGAAAAGAAAGAAAGAGAGAAGAGTGGTTTTTGATGGTGAAAGATCGAAACTCTATTCTTCTTCTTCCTCCACTTTTCGTCATCGATAACTCAACTTTTATTCAACCGCTTCTTCTACAAAACTACTCTCTCTCCACTTCTCCTACATCCTCAGAACTATCCATCGTAGCTAGTCCTCACTCTACGACCCCAATACAGAGGATCTTGAAGAGAATACACAAGACTTGAGGAAAGATCTTAACGCTCAAATGCCAATAACCATCCCCTTCCCTCGATCCACCATCCCCACTTCATCTTTACCCGATTACCCACCATCATCTTCATCCTCTTCCTCAGACTCGATCGATACAGACGATACGAACGATACAGAAGATTATGAAGCAGAACAAGCTGCTTTGATACAAGAAGAATGGGAAGAATCTTTACGTCAATTGGAGGTGGTGTTGAGTATCATCATCATGCCTTATTTAGGTAAATGGTATGGTCGTCGATTTGCTTATTGGTGTGAGTTTTTTATGCCTCTTTACAAATCATTACATTCTTTCCATCAATATCTTTATGAAAGTCATTAGAGATACTAGGGAAATGGACTGATAGATAGTATATGGACGATATCAACAGACCGGCTGGACATGGGCGTTTCTGGGATTATTATGAAATCATAAGAGTACACCACTCCATCTCAAAAACCTTCATTCACTCTCAACCTCAAGCTTTCTTCGAAACATTACTCAATACATGTGATCGATAGGATACGATAACATCAATGCATTATGCACCATACGAGTAGACCATACAAATACAACAATTTCTAAAATATGTAAAAAATGCTGGATAAATCCGCTCCGATGCGCGATGCGATTAGATCATGCTCTATTCCTGCGATTGCGATACCCTCGTCATCCACTGTCTCAAAGTATCCGCCAACACTCCCGGTAAAGCTTCCACATCCCTCAAAACCACATAAAACTCGAATGGAAAAGTATCCAAATATCTCTTCATATCCAATTCCATCCCACCTTCTTTATTCGTCTTATATTCCACACTTTGCATTGACAAAATACTAGTGTTTCCTCCTCCTGACGTGTCCGATGTCGATTGTCGATGAAGAGAATCAACAATAATAAACACAATCATGACTCTTTCTTCTATTGCTCGTCGTAAAAGAGTTCGAAGTCGATGATGATCTTGACATATACCATCAGAAATGATAATTTCCAATTGCCATAAATCCATTCCTGTTGAAGAAGTTTGATTCGTTCTAGATTCTGCCAAATATCCAAGAGTACGTTCTACCAATAACGCAACGTCTGTTTTTTGTTGATCGAATTTAAAAGAATTTACAATTGTCGTTCCTGCCCCATCGGTGAAAGCTCCTTCTGAGAATGGATGAAGAATGTCCACACCTGCTCCGAACCGAGCTACGGAGACTTGACCTACTTCAAGTTTGTTCAAAGCCTGACAGACCAAAGCGAGAGTTTGATATGCCAGATCAACAGAATGAGATTCGGACATGGAACGTGAATCGTCCAATGCTAAGAGAACTTGATATTCTCGTCTTGAAGGACGAGTACGACGAAGCCAGATTTTATCTTTTGTATATTCCGATGCGATGTAAGGAATGATCTTACGCATGTTCAAACGTTTGCCAGTTCGGAAATCACCTTGAAGTCGAGTGGCGAGTGTGGGAGCTAGGATGAGACGTAATTGTTCGCAGAGGGCGTACGAGAGATCTGAAGTTAGAGAAGCGTAATGTCGCCATAAATCGGCATCACTCTCTTTCGTCGAAGTATCGTTCGGATCGAGAATCGATAATTCGACTTGTTCTGGCCCTTGCCAATCTGCAACTTGGGGTGTATCATCTTCTATGGAAGAGTCCACTTCCATTGTATCTCCTGATTCTGGGTTCACCTCGGCTCGTCCTTGAATTTCCGACTGAGTCAGCGCTTTCTCCATCCCCTCCTCCCCAACACGAGGTTCCCGCTTTGCAGAGACGTCCGCTTGCTTCGTCGGTGGAGGTCCAAAGGCGTCGTCTCGCTCTTCTGTATTATCCATACCCATCTGGCCATCTCCCTCAACTTCATCATCCACAATATTCAGATCTTCGAGCTTCCGCCGTTCTTCTTCACCTGCCGGTCCGAGAGCTTGCATCTCTTCATCTACATCACCCTCCTTTAGATACTCAACCTGTCCTGGAGCTTCCTCTGCAGCAGAGGGTTGTTCATCTGCCATTTGAGCACGTTCACGCTGAGCTAAAATTTCATCTCTCCGTCGTCGGATGTCTTGTAGGATGTCTCCAGGAGTACGTTGATCTTGTCTTGCATCACCGTTGGCAGGAATGGGAGCGCCGGAAGAATCAACAGGACCATCAGGTTCGTCTTGTTGCACTGTCGAAGTACCTTGGCCTTGTTGTGGTGGGGCTGGACTAGATTCGTCAACACAGAATCTCAATGATGACAAAGCACTCACCCATCTCCTCGTTCAACTTGTTCATTCTCAGTCTCTCCTACCTCTTTCTCCTGATCGACTTCTGGATTTTGTTCAAATTGCTCTTTCTGCCTCTGTCCACCACTTTGCCCCTGACCGAGATCAGTCTCCTGAGCTTCGGTATTACTAGCAGATAGATCGAGATTCTGGTTCGGATTCTCATCTTGTTCCATCCTATCTTCCTCTCCGATTCCAGTAGCATCAGGAGCATCATCTCCTGCTTCCTCGTCATCATCCATATCTTCATTCCGTCCCTGCTCCTCTTCCATATCATGTTGAGACTCCTCATCAGCATCAGGGGGTAGAGGGAGATCGTCTTCAGTATCGGGCGTCTTCTCATCCCCTTCTTCACCCAAGTCAAGATCGTCCGGAAGCTTAAGGTTCTGTCCTTGATCAACATCCACCTGATCCTGAGAAGTTTCCTGCTGTTGTCCTTCACTTTCCTCCTCTGCTTCCATATCGTGATCCTCATCATGCATGTCGTCTCCTTCTTGTTCTTCTTCATGCTGGGTATCGTCATACTTGTTATCTTGTTCTTCTATTCCCTTCTTCTTTTCATCCTTTCCCTGTTTCGTATCCTTCTCCTTGGCTGTCATCTCACCTTCTTCACCCTGATCGTCCGTCTGTTCATTCATCTTCTCATCACTATCCTTCCCGCCTTCTTCCTTCTCCTCTCCCCAGAACTTCTCATCCACCGCTCCTGGGTCAAGCGGATCAACATCACCAGCATGCTCATCATGCTCCTCCTCTTCTTCCTCCCCACTACCTTCTTCTTCTTTCTCTTTACCGTCCTCCAAAGCTCCTTCGAAATCCTCATCCATACTGACAGCATCATCATCCCCTTGTTTCTTCTCCTGTTCTCCATCTTCCTCTTCCCCCTGAAGTCCCTCAACTTGAGATTCTTCCTCAATCTCCGCGGAAACGTTCTTGTCCCCGGTCCCAGATCCCATGCCCGTTCCGTCCACTGTATCCCCCTCCGCTCCGTCCGCCGAATCATCAGCTTCGGTAGGTTTGCAGAAACCTTTCTGGGCTAGATCGAGCATGATACGTGCGATGACGTAGCTCAGTTTATAAGTCGCTTGAACGGTGTGCAGATGGGTAGTGACACATTTCGTAAGGCTCTGCGAGAACACCTCGAGGAAAGGTAACAAGCGACCGAGGAAGTGAGGGGTGATTCGAGATGAATCCATTGCCATCTCGTCGGTCAAGTTGGACAAGACGGAGTCAATCGATTCGAAGATTTGTGTGACATGTAGACTATCGATGGACTTGCGCTGAGAGAACAAGTCGTCGGTGATCTTGACCCGAGTATCATCATCGAGTGCTGGAGAAGTGGCAGTGTCGAGTCGCTGCGCCACGACCAGAAGTCTTTGTATCAACTGGTCATTGGCTTGCCATATCTCCGTCGACAGAGCTTTCGTGGGCTGGAACTGAGTCGGTGTCCACCGATCGACCCTGGCCATGCTGACGAGCGGCGTGAATAAATGATGGAATTCGGGCTTGCGTTCTGCTTCTTGTAATAGCTCGGGGATACGTTCGAGTAGTAAAGTTTGCGCTGTTTGCAGTTGATTGACTTCATCTGTTTTTGATCAGTACTGGTGAGTGCGAAGAAAGTTCCAACTTACCAGTCGTGAAGAGCAAACAGCCCGTTCCCTCCACCACATTCACAATCATAGACATGGCCGCGACACATTCTTCGGTGGCGGTCAGCAATTTACTGACCAACGATGTATCACCCCCAGTGACCGGTCGATGCTGTAAGTCTCGGATCTTGCGAATCATATCCATTGCTTCGTGTAGACCATCCCGAACTCCACATAAAACGTTGAGAGTCTTGTTCATCTGCTGTAATACTTCGCGACCACCGGTGACTTCCGCGGCTTCGGAACACTGCCGTAAACGAACGGTTTTCTGGGCTAATGTGGACATTTGTGACAGATATCGAGCGAGTCTACTACTTTAGCATCATTCAGACAGAATGGAATTACTGAACCACTTACCTGTCCCTCTCAGTCAACGCAGTGGCATACACAGATTCCACAAATCCAATACCTCTTTGTAAGTCTTGGGAGGCGATGTCAGGATTATGTCCATTGAACGCCGCTCTTAGAGTAGACATCAACACCGCTTGTCGATGATGATAAGATTCAACCTTTCTGATCCTTTCCACATCTCCAACTTCAAGCAAAGATGGTCTCTCCATCAACCAGATCCTATCCTGCTGTTTCTTGAGTTGATCAGCTCGGACATTATTGGAGAATCCCGATTCTCTAAGTGCAGATAGGAGGTCAGAGAAAGCTTTACGTTTCCTACTTGCGAGATTCTTGACAAGTTTAGCGTTTTCTTTCGTCAAAGTCGAAGGAGTCGCTTTAGCCAACATGGCTGCAGTCTCGATGATTTCCACGGCAAAGGAGTCGACTTCAGTGGCCGTATTGGAACTTTGAGCCAAAATGAAGGAATGGTGTATAGCGGAATATCGATCAAAAGTGATCTGGATCTGACGAAGAGTATCAGGGATAACGACCTCACTCTTCATCCGAGCTATGATAACTTCCGAGGAGATAGTGGCGGACGGCTGCAAGTCTGTAGACGCTGGGAAAGAAAGTGAAACAGGTTGTTCCTGAGAAGTGAACGGGGTCGAGTCGGCCAAAAGGGGTGATACGGGTTGTCGAAGGATATCCCGGAATTTACGAATAGCACGGTGTAGTTGTCTATGTGTTCTCTGAGCGCTGGCGCGTAGCGCATAGACGTTTACATCTTTCCAACTCGCCAATTTGACAAAATCCCTGATCGACTTATCGAGAACAGAACGTTGTTGTTGAAGAGATTCCTTCACTCGAGGGGAATATAACGAAGCTTCCGCAATCACATTGTGCAGTAAAATTGACACTCTTTTCAAGCGATCATCGGAAATCCCCAAACCGTCGGTGAGTTCTTCGAACGCTTTCAGAGCAATAAGGCGACTCTCGAAATGTCCCAGTGTGCTGGAAGAAAGATAAGTCCCTAGCATGGGAAGAAGTGATTCCACATGTTTGTCTAGATTGTCCGTCGAGATGACTCCATGTACTAGGGCGCCAAACAATCGAAGTGACCATTCAGCATCACTTCGAATATACTCTTCAGCTTGATCTTCTAGGAGTCGCATCCAAGAAGCAAGTTCGAGTCGACGCCATTCGATGATGAGTGCCGTAGCTTTGTCACGGAACACCTGCAGGGAGTTTTCTCTATTGGCGTATGCCTCCCAGTCGTCCGTATGGGTCAATAGTTGTTCCAAAGCGGCGAGAACCTGAGCGACAGGACTACGGATGTCGAGTTGTAAGAAGAGTAGACATCTGTCGCGGATATGTTGTGGGACCATCTGTTCAGGCCATTCGGCGATGACAGACTCCAGACGATGCAAAAGGGAGTAGATTAGAGGATGTGCCTTACGAACTGTAGGCTCGTTTGGAGACAAATAGAAGTTTCCGATCGCATGAGACGATGCTTCCTGAACCCGACTATGGAGCTGAGAGAGCTGCAGGATTGAGCTTTGAAAATCGAGAGTTTCGTTAAGGGTCGCGGGGTCGAAAGAATCGGTGAGAAGTTGATCGCGTCCAGACAAGAAAAGCTCGAAGGGTATAGATGCCGATGGGGAAGTGACACTGATGACGAGTTGGTGGAAAATTACCACATCGTCAGGTAAAAATTTACCAGATATATCCTTCTTCTCCTTCGTAGTCTCAGTCACCGTTTGTGAATGTCTCGTGTCCTCGTCGTCCTCCGCATACGATGGGAAAAGTCGAGCGAACTCTTCTTCCTCCTGTTCGTCATCGGGCAGAACATCAATCTCTGTCTTCTTAACCCTATACAGACTCTCGGAAACTTGAGCTTCCTCTTGTTCCCGAAGTCGAACGTCGCTCCAAGTGTGATAGATATCATTGAGCGAAGATACCAATACGGCCAAACGATTTCGATGTCTTCCACTACTCGCAAACTCCGATGCCTGGGCCGAAGCGACAAGCAAGTTTCCTCGCAGACTGCTATCATTATACAAGGTCACACTGTTATCGACTACCTCTCGTGCCCCAGAAATGGTAGGGAATTGTATGACAAGTGGAAGCAGAGGGGAAGGATTAGCCATTTTAAATTCATGTTCTCGAGCATGACATCGTAAGCCGAATTGAATCAAGAGCAAAGCTGAAATGAGTGGAGCTGTAAGATCAGCCATGTCGTAATAATTGACTTGTAGACGGCGTATGACCGCTTCTGCCGATAATTGGAAAGCGTTCTCTCGCTGCAAAGCATGAGTGTCTCCGTGTTGGAGTGCATCCACCAGATCTTGTAGCACGCGAGAGTTCAATGAGTCCGCGAGGAATGAATAAACCTCTGTGAACAGTTGAGAAATTCTCAGTGCGTTACTTTGTCTTGCAATGGTCGGTCCGAGGTTTTGTAAATCTGCACGAAGATTCTCTATCTTCTCTTGAATCCTACGAACGCGGAGAGAATCACTGATACCTCTTATGGCTACTTCGGCAGCTTGAACAGCCTCTAGTTCTTCCTCGACAAGGTCGAGATGGACGAGTAGGACTTCTTCCTGCATCACACGCTCGACCGCGGGATCGATAGGAACGTTCGGGACGTAAAGGTGCAGGGTGATCTGACCGAGGATGAGATAAAGGGTACCGATCACGTCGAGCGACAGATTGGTCATGTGGGTGAGACTGCCCAGGAAGGGCAGATGCTGTTGGAGGGAATCATGTAGGATGGAAGTAGAGGGAAGATGGTGAAGAACGTCGATGATTTGCGAGGGAAGGTGGGTCGAAACTACTGAGGGTTCAAAGGCAAGACAGGTAATATGTAGAAGTCCAAGAGCCATGTTTATCGCTTGACGTCGTCGTGTGAAGGGATCGGCCTGCTTGTTGTGCCATAGAACAGCTTGAATCGTGAAGTTCAAAGATTGTTGTTCTCGCAGTAGATCGGATAAAGGGAGGGATGTTTCCTTCCTGCCTGATCAGCTTCATTCGGTGGAAAGTTAGCTGCTCTATGTGCCCGAGGCAGTATGACTGTCACGCAGTCACGTGGACAAGCATGACGCAGCATGTCACAGCGTTGCTCGCCTGGGCCGGATGACGGTACAGTGGGAGAGATAGAAACAATGAGAAGGTGTAGAGATGTGATGACATAGTGGGACGTTTGATAGAATCAGGGGGTATAGAGAAGTGACGCCACAGTGAAAAGGCGAACAAGATCAAAGATCGCGAAGATGTCATGGTATGTACGATGTGAAATGTGTGTGTGTGTGTGTGGGGGGGGGGGGGGG